TTTGGCTATCTACTGTTCCCGCATGAAACATATTTTCTAATAAATTTCTTACTTGTTCAGTTATTCGCTTCCAAGGCCCTTTTTAATTTTTTTTTTTGTTTTCAGCTAAAGCCCAGCCTAAAAAATACTTATTATAACTAAGATAGAGATAAATTTAATTATAGGTTATTCTCTATTTAATATTGTATCTAAGGCATTCTCAAGCCTTCTCAATGTGATTTAAGATCGTGTATAAGCACTCATGCTCTTTTTTTTATTTGTCAAATGCAAACTTGATTAGTGATGCAGTAGAATCATCCCAATGATTGAGTTTACCTTACCATAACTATAGTAATATAGTAAGTTACGGCTATAATGCCTAACTTACTATATTACTTACTATCGTTACGGCGAGTTAAACTCAAGTTACAACAATCATTGGGACAATTCTACTGCATCACTATACTTGATCGTTAAACCAAATTTCAATTATAATGTTTTTTTTTAATCCATTAAGTTAGGCACTTGAGAACGGCTAGCACTTATTTACAGAAAATCACTTGACAAAATTCAAAAAGATTATTTCACAAACAGATTTATTTCATAGACAGTTCATTTTATAGACAATTTTTTTTTATAAGATTAGAATTTAGAGGTTAGAGTTCAGATTTAGAGTTAGGGCTTAGGGCTAGAGTATTCTATAGTAAAAAAATTGTCAATAAAATAAACTGGAATTTCTGTAAATTGAACTTCTATCAAGTGGTTTTCTGTGAAATAAAATGAATCCCTTAAGAACACCCTAATAATACTAAGATATCATATTACCTTTTTGAAGTTGACATTAGCGTTGGGTCAATCATATTTAGATTATCTATTTCCTAGAAATTTCAATATTTATTGAAATTTGTCTTTTTAGGAGGTAATAGTTGCCTGCTAAAAGTGAATACTTTTGCTTTACCATACTACTACAACTGAAAATTCATGAGAATCTGAAGATTAGAAAATCAAATTTTTTGGTATCACCTCAATAAATCAGTTATATAAGGTAAATTGTAAAGATCCTTCACAATAAACTTTATGTAATTGATTGTTTAGGGAAGTGCTGTTTATTACGTAATTTAATGAGAGTAAATGGGTTTTGTGAGCTCTAAATTGAAATATTAGTGAGGATGCAGTGTTGGAAATTAAACTTTAAAAAAAAAAATTCTCATTAATATCAGTCTTACTAATGCTCTCATGATTTATTAAATATAAGAGAACAATTTTAAAAATATGTTCTCAAATTAGATATGTTTTATGAATACATAAGAGCATCGAATTTCCAACACTGGGTGTATAGTCTCATAATAAAAAGAAAATTATGTAGTAAACGGCATTCCTCTTAGAAAGTTTCACTATTATCTGAATCTTAAATTTAATGAATGATAGCTTAGTAAATTTGTACTGATAGAGTCATTATTTTTTTTTTAATTTTAGACTTTCAGAATTTTCAGTATTAACTTTTAGTATAATGAATTTACCAAAAGTACTCTTAGTATACAACTTTAACCATCGAAAATTAAATAGGTATTTGTAAAAATATTTATATAGAACTTTTTTAAATCTTACTATTGCATTTTCCTGATATTCAATATTAGACTCATTTATTGTACTTCGATCTATTGAATAGCAAAATAAATAATTAGGTTTGAATCGATTAACACAGGTTAAAAGCTTTCAAATCGGTATATCGACTAGTAGAAATCGAGTATATATCGGGTATATAACAGCAACTTTAGCACCTGATATGTATCTATATACCCACCAAATATTGGGCATATAAATTTAACATATCAGGATCTGATATGTATATTAGTAAGATATCAGAATTTCTGATATCTCACGAATAGTTATTTAGTAGTATATCAGGATACCTTACATTATACGATTATTTATTATAGTAGAATATAGGGTATCCCGATATACTACTATAATAACTATTTGTGAAATATCGGAAATTCTAATATCTTACTATTATACATATCAGATCCTGATATGTTAAATTTATATGCCTAATATTTGGCAGGTATATATATACATATCGGGACCCAATATATACCCGATTTCTACAAGTCGATATACCGATTTGAAAGCTTTTAACCTGTGTAAAGATTAAAATATATAATTAAACTACGTAATAGTACTTTGAATATGAGGTGTTAGCATAGTCCAAGATTTGGTAGGTTTTGTATGTTCAGATAGTATTGGTTCTGGCTTTTTAAAAATATAATCTTTAGTTATTTTTACAATTTTTTCAGGTTTATATTTTCTCCATGACCCCAATCCAGGTAATGATCTAGCAAGAATATGTCCAGCCTCTTCTCCTTCATCGGGCCAAGCCCATTCATGCCAATTAGAAATTCCATATATCGTTCCTAGCTTGTGATTTGCTTTATTTGGTTTTATTAATTAAAATTAATACTTTTTTATTTATAATAAAATTAGAAGTAAAATATACAAACCTTCGCGATTGGGAATAATATTTGCTACGTGGGTACCTGCTAAGTCTTTTATTGCTTCTTGTATTTCCTCACCCGATTCAATATCATGTTCTATTTTTACCCATTGGTTTATAGCATGTATTAACTAGTCAAATAATAGTAATTAATTATAATATACTAGTTGCAATAATAGGAATTTGGAGGTCAATAGAAAGCTTTAAATATCAATAACTTATTCAATTCAATAATTTAAAACTCAATTTAATTCTACAAGCTTGTAGAATTAAATTGAGTTTTAAATTATTGAATTGAATAAGTTATTGATATTTTAAGTTTAGAAAAAATTATTTATACCTGGGCATGATATGAGTCTATTGCTGTTTTTGCTTCGCCGGCCTCAAGAAAAATCCATTTATGTACTGAAATACTATACCATTCTTTCCAATGAGCCATAATTATCATTAATTCTGTATTGTAATAGTGTGGTCCGTTATCAGAAAAAATACTAATCCATTTTGGTTTTATTTCGATTGTTTTTAATACACCATTAAGGGAAGACACCGTAAACCAGGCATCTTGTTTACTATCACTACTCCAATGATCAAATGCATGAATATTAATTTTATTTGTATTAGGATCTTTTGTGTACATTAGAACTAAATGAAGTAACCATCCACATTTGCCAAAAAATTCGGCCTTAGTTTCTCGAGATTTTTGACACAAGATTTTCATCTTGTAGTCAACAATTATCAATACACCGTCAGAATCAAGTTGAGCAAGATTAGCACTTAGTTGAGAATTAAGGTATGTTTTCCGTGCATGGTGAGCTTGAAAATATATAAGTTTATTCTGATACTCATTTAAAAACTCATGAATTTCAATAGATGTGTTG